ATAAACAAGTAACTGGTGTTGTTTATCTAGACCTAAAAAAGGCTTTTGACACAGTAAACCATCAAGTTCTAATGAAAAAATTAAAGAGAATTGGGGTTCAAGGTCAAACGCTGTGCTGGTTTCAATCTTTCCTTTCAAACAGATCTCAACAAACAATCATTGCAAATTCACTATCTGAAAGTTTAAAGATCACTGTTGGAGTGCCGCAAGGCTCCATACTTGGACCATTATTGTTTATAATATACATTAATGGTGTGCAATCATGCTTGAAAAACTGCCGTATGGTGATTTTTGCAGATGACATAGCAATGTTTTGTCCGGCTTCAACAGCAGTAGAATTACAAGCCAAACTGGACTTTGATCTACAAGGTGTCATGAATTGGCTTCGGAACAACAAGTTGTTGCTAAACGTTCCCAAATCAAAACTGATGATTATCGGAAATTCAAGAAAGTTGAAAGAGTTTGCGAACATTCAGCTAATCGCAAATGATACACCATTGGAAAGAGTCCAAAATTTTAAGTACCTTGGTGTTATTATTGACGAGAATCTTTCTTGGAAGAGTCATATCGAAAAGTTACAGTTAAAAGTCTCACAACGCCTCGGCATCCTACGCAGAATAAAGCACCTGCTACCTAAGCATGCACGGATAATATTTGTCAATACAATGATCACGTCATTACTGGATTATGGTAGCCTGGTATGGGGAGATAAGAAAAACAAGATTATGATGGATAGTTTACAAGTATTGCACAACAAGGCAGCAAAGTTGGTACTGGATAGACCAATGCTTTCCTATTCTAGTGATGCCCTAAGAATATTACACTGGTCTACCTTGAAGCAAAGGCGAAGTATACGTAGATGCCTCTATGTATATAAGTCAATAAATGGGATAAATGATATTGATAATACATTTATCCGAAATGCAGATGTTCATGGTTACAATACAAGACATAAAAACGATTTACGGCCAATGAAATCCAGTACTTGTAAAGGTCTACTTAGATCAAACTGTGATTTCATTGCGGACTGGAACCTTTTAGATCAAAATATTAGAAGTTCGTCTTGTTTATCTAATTTTAAACGTGCTGTTTTTAAATTTTTTAAATCAATATAGAACGAACTTAACTTTTAATATAGTCTACTTTTTTCTATATAGAATAGAACTCTTAACTTTTTTATATAATAATATACGGAATGTAATATACAGAGCCCTGCTGAAAAGCACTTGAGTAGTGATGTAGGATGTCTGTTATAAATAAAGTTGTTATTATTATTATTATTATTCTTACATTTCGTAAATTAGTAATATAAAATAGCTTGTTGCAACAGCTTTTAGCGAGCTTGCGGCTAGCGTATTCGGCAAAAGTGTTGCTTGCGTGCGAGTGAAACGAGTCCGGACTTAGTTTTAGCCGTTGGTTTTCTGTTTGACTTAGAAATTTATCTTAAAATATTTTTAAATTTTTTTTCTCGACTTTTTAAACTTTCAAATAGTTTATTAGACCTTTTTTGGTTAGGTTAGAAAAGGGTTTGGGGTTGGGGTCAGGTTTATCTTACATATTACGACTGCAGTACGAATAGCAAATAGCCACTTCGAAATATTTATAACGTTTTTAACTTGATCACGTGTTAAATTTGGATATCATAAAACCTGTCAAACATCGCGGACATGTCGCGTGCTCCGCTTATGTATCAAGTTTTTGCTTTAGTACTTTTGAGTTTCTGCATTTATAAGAAACAATTTATACAATCAGATGGCATAAGTATTACTATACTTGAAGAAGATGAAGGGATGGTGAAGGAGAACTACATATTTTCGACAATTTGGAGTTACAATCGAAGCAGTGAGTGTTTTGTTTATCAATCAACAAGAAGAAGTATGTATGTGCTTTTGTTGTTAATATGTGGTGATATTGAGGCATGTCCAGGACCGTTAAATGCTCAATTACATGACTTTATTCAACTCAGAGGAATAAAAAATTTTCACCAAAATGTTTGCGGATTGTTCACTAAGTTTCATAGTCTGGAAGAATTGTTTGACCGGCATGAAAATATCGACATTTTAGCGCTTTCGGCAACGCATATAGTTAATGGACAGTTTAATGATAATGAAGACCTGTACAAAATCCCTGGATATATGTTGGTGAAGAGTAATCGGAAAGTTGGAAAAGGTGGGGGTGTAGCTATATATATATTAAGGAATGCATTGAGTGGAGAAGAAGGCAAGATCTTGAGAATGATAGCGTCGAAAGCATGTGGATTGAAGTATTCATTAAGAATTCGAAAAGTTTGTTAGTAGCGGTGTGCTATAGGCCACCGGAGAGTTCACGCTATTTTCCAGCGAATTTTGATGAAACTTTTAATGATACACTTAGAGAAAGTGCAAACGAGTCAAAAGAAATCATAATCTTAGGAGATTTCAACATTAACTTTCTAAAAGCGAGTGAACATAAAGATTTTAAAGAATTAATTAATCAGACTTTATGGTTTCAGTCAAATTATTAAACAAGCAACCCGTATTTCTAAAGATACGTCAACGCTAATTGATATTATACTAACAAATAACCCATTAGTATTGTCTAGAAGTGGAGTTTTTATGGTTGACCTGAGTGATCACGAAATGGTCGGTTGCATACGTAAATTAAACAATGTCAAATTTACTCCAAAGGTTATAACATGCATTTCGTAATTACTCGGCTTATGAGCCTGAAGTAATGAAAGAAGATTTTAGGAGAGTCAATTGGCTGTCATTATATACTATGAACGATGTTAACAAGCCATCGGAGTACTTTAACTATACAGTTAAAGCTATCTTTGACCGTCATGCGCCTCAATTGAAACATGCACAGTACCAACTATGTGGAAAGTGGCAAAGATAAGTCCAATGATCCAAACTTCCTGAGAACTTTCGACCTACATCGGTGTTTCCAGTTTTGTCAAAACTATTGGAAAGAGCTGTTCATGGGCAATATCTTAGATTTCTAGAGGAAGAAAAATTATTAACTGATTGTCAATACGGGTATCGGATGAAGAGATCAACAAGTCTAGCTGCAATTCATTTTATCGATGACATAAGAAACGAAGTTGATCAGGGGAACCTTGTTGGGGCCATTTTTATAGATCTCAGCAAGGCTTTTTATACTATTAACCACGATGCCCTTCTTACAAAGTTACAGGCATATGGTGTTCGAAATAGAGAATTGACATGGTTTACAGACTATTTGTTCAATTCGGACGACAACAATATGTTCATCTTGGAGGCAATAAATCGTCAAACCAACCTGTTCTTATTGGAGTTCCTTAGGGGTCAGTGATGGGACCTTTGTTATTCTTAGTGTTTTATAACGATCTTGTTGACATAGGGATAAACTCACGTATTATAAAGTATGCTGACGACACTATTATCTATTGCTCCGGAAAAAATATAGAAATGATAGAGAAAACACTGTCAAGCGATATGGATGTAGTTGCAGAGTATTTTGATGCAAATGAATTGTGTTAATAAATCTAAAGATAGGGAAAACTGAAATAATGGTTTTTGGTACTGGAAAAAGATTATCTGCACAACCTCGTCAATTGAGAGTTGAATATAGAGGCAACCTATAAATACAACACAGTCCTATACAAATATCTTGGTCACGTACTTGATCCTGGTCTGACACTTAATGAAAACTTTGAGGCAGCCTATAAAAAAGCTAGTAACTGAGTACGACTATTATCAAGAATCCGTAACTATGTGACACCAAGTGTGGCGACGAAGATATATCAAATGATGATTGTACCAATAATTAACAATTATTGGATGAGGTTTTTGTGATATGCGGAATTATCAAGGTCGAGGTAAGCGTTATCAGCCGAACCGAAGGCGAGGCTGATAACGCTTACCGAGACCTTGATAATTTTGCATATCGCAAAAACCGAATTCAATAATTGTTTTATTATACATTTGAAGAACAATAAACATAGTATTTTAAATAATAAAACAATTATTGAATTCGGTTTTTGCGATATGCAAAATTATCAAGGTCTCGGTAAGCGTTATATTCAATATAATGTCTGGCAAAGCTGTTCAAGTAAAACGTTTCTATAAACAAGTCTCCGGAAGTCCAACAGTTAAATTAATTACAAATATAAAAGAAAAATATTATCGTTAAGATGTTAACGTATTAAAATATTTACTTGTTAAAGTAAACATTACAATTATGAAATGAACATTCATTTGAAAATTGAAATGTACACTCATTTGAAATGTACACTCATTCAATTTCACGCAACCTAACACAAAATTCAGTTATCTGCTAGCAGATAACTGAGTTATCTGCTAGCAGATAACTGAATTTTGTGTAGGTTGCGTGATTGCGCGATTTAACTGTTAGCTCTTAGCCAATCAAATTGCTTTTACCAACTACAATGTATAATAATTACGTATAGTGGTATGGTCAAATTATTTCTAACTGAGACGAAGCGACGAAATCTTACGTCCATTGAAAACCGAGCACGAGCAATTATTGGTGAAGAAATATACTTGCCTGATCTGGATAAATTTGGTAAGAAAGGAAGCGTGTGATGTTTTACGAAAATGCTTGGAAAAAGATATTTGCAGAAACTTCTATAATTATTTTGAAATTAAATTAATTAATAACCATAGTCATAAGAAACAGAAATATTATGATAAAGCTACCAGAACTAAAGCTTCAATTTGGTAGACATGCTTTTCGATTTGCAGCGGCAAGAATTTATAATGACTTGCCTTGCGAAATTCGAGCTGAAAAGGACAGCAAAATATTTTGGAAACTGCTAGAAAATTATTACCAATGATTAAATTATAGTATATATTATAAATATAGATTATAGATTATTTAGTATGTACTATTTAGTTAAATAGAAGACACATATTGATAACAGTAGATTACTGAAATGTTTATCCTCTGTAAAGATTTTGAAATACAAATACAAATACAAATGCGAATCTTTGTATGCATGGCCCCTGTAGACTGCAGCGAAGCAGCTTTCCACGTCCTTCAAGTTCCTTTCCGAACCATCACAATGTTTACATTTTCGACCGACCAACCCAGAGCGAGAGTCTCTCAGTCTTCGACCTCAGAAAATATTTATTTCATATAAAATCTCGAAGCGTCTGTCGAGGCTACGGATGCTCGCAGAATTTCGAGGAATTCAAGTTCCATAAGATCTAAAATTTTAGTCCTTTAATTAAGGCTTTGCTTAACATATTTTTGCAATGCTGTTTTGAGACAATCGTCGTGAACAGGTGAACTCATTTCGCGTTTCCTATGTCGGCTATCTTTAATTTCCCGTGAACCACTCTATGGTAGTTGACATGAAGTATATTAGAATACGATTATTAGGTTTTGCAAAGAATCATGATATTGGCAGTGCTCGGCCGATTTTTTATTTTATTTTAAATTTCTTTTACTTTAAATTTATATTTTCTTTTTATTTAACTATTATTTTACTTTTATTTTTAATTTCAATTTCAATTTGATTGTGTTTTTAAAATGCTTTATAAAAAAGATTTATTTCTAAACGATTTGCTAATAAAAAATACGAAAAACTATTGGCAGTTCTCGGCTACCATAGATCAGCATAATTTTTAACAAGACTAAAACATTTCTCCCCGGTTCCACTCCCACCATAGAAATGATGACTGGTCCCTAAAGGCCTAATTCCACGACGAGCGAAATGCGAAAAATTTCGCGCAAACAGGTTGAACGCATGCGCGACATTATTTTGGGGGTCGTTTCTCTGCGAAATATTTCTCTTCGCCGGGTATTTGAATTCGTTTCTACTCCGTTGCGAAATGGAAATAGCGAAGCCAATCAAATGCTTGTGTTTTCGATGACAAAATAGCGACGCCAATCAAATGCTTTTGTTTTGGCGAATTTTTTTTCTACTGTGGAAATCATGACGTGAGAAAATTTTCGCATTTCGCTCGTCGTGGAATTAGGCTTTTAGGGAACGCAAATCATCAGTATAAAATTTGATTGACACGTTGGCCATTTTCTTTAAAATTCCCTTCATCACTTGTTTAATTTGAATAATTCGAACAAGCTGTAATATTGTGTTGACGTTTTTAAATGCATCTCAATAAGAATATACATGCAGGGTATACAAAAAATCGAAGTCCTTTATTGGCAATCTCGAAACCAGAACCTGCAATCCTCTGAGGAGGCTTGCTGACGCTCTGGGAAACACCAGCGAAAGTCGGGCTATGATTGGTTGTTTTTCAAGTGCTAATTATTATTCAAACTTTGAGCCGTATTTAGTTATTCAAATTTCAAACATCGTTTAAAATTAATATAAAGTTCATTTCACTTTGTGTATTATTTTTAAACATATCAATGAAACACACAGCATAACTTTAATAAACTTATTAATCTTCCCTGGCTTCTCATATGAAATCAATAGACTATTAAGATATTGATATGCCATTAACAAAATGTAGAATAACAACAGTGCAGTATTACCATATAAGGTCATGATAAGTCGTTGCCTATAATATTTAAAATAACACAACAATCCATAATTTACTTTAATTAAATAAGTTAAAATAAATCACTACCAGTATCTTACAACAATTCAAAACCATGGCAAGTGTTTTTTGAAGAATTAAAGTCGTAATAAGCTTAAACAACGGCAAAATTCATGTTTGACGGCAGTAATGTCTATTTATAAATATCGAGCGGAGTACTGGATCCAAATGTACTGATTTTCGTGCAAAGTCGCTGGTGTTTCACACAGCCTCAGCAAGCCTCCACAGAGGACTGCGGGCTTTGGCTTCGAGATTGCTTTATTGGATGACTACAATAATGTTCCGGTATATAGATTCATAAAGCGGAACCAATCACCTTATCAACGCCAGATAACTGTCTTAGTTTAGTCAATTGATATGCGGGTAATATATAATTCCTTAGAGATGTTCCGAACGTCGCGCTCCACGTGTGCCGAACGCATTAAAAACAATAAGTAATATTATAAACAATATAATAAACAATAAGTTGAGATGCCTTACTATCTATTGTTGATAATGCATTCGGCACATGAGAAGCACGACGTTTGAAACAAGCCCAGGTGACTCCAAAGTTTGACATGGTATGAAATGAAAAAAATTGAGATCTCATCAAAACCAATTAGTACAGCTTTCGATGTACGGTTTCGTTTCGACTTTGCACTAACTTGCTAATCTAATTCTGTTCACATTACGTATGGGAAAGAGGTTAAAAACTCCAGCCATATATCAAGTTTTA